GGTATTTGTTACTATCGGAAACTCTTTTAGGGTTTTCGAACAGCTCGGAAGCCTAGAAAAGGGTTTTTTAATTGCTCGGAAACCCTAAAAGAGTTTCCGATAGTAACAAATACCCAATTTTTTTTAGAGTGTAGTGAGCTATGAATACCCTGAAAAGAGTTCGGGCAGCTAGCTTATTACTGTCGAGATACTGCATTTTTTATCTATTTTTTAATTAATCACAATACCGTGGTCCCGCTCAGCAACCAGAAAAAAATGAGCTTCGAATTTCGACTTGAAAGTTTGCATAGAAACAGGCTTTAGTGAGAGTAGTTTATTGTAAAATTTTCAGGTCTTTTAGCTGTTCCTATCCTAGGGTACGGCTAAAAAACATATATTTTCATCGCTCGTATACTCCCGACAGGTTCCAATGTGCTTAATTCAGAACAGGAACAACCAAAATGTCTGAAACTTTCACAATAAACTACTCTCACCTAGGCCTGTTTCTGTGCCAAGTTTCAAGTCTGAATTCGAAACTCAGCTTTTCTGGTTCCTGAGGGGGACCACGGCATTTTGCTAAATGATATCATAAAAATGCAGTATCTCGACAGTAATATGCTAGCAGCCCGAACTCTTTTCAGAGTATTCATAGCTCACTGGGATCTACAAGATGCTCATCTTGCTGACTCAAAAGCGATTGGACAGTTGGATATGTTCCCTCGTAAGTGACAAATGTCTGATAGATCAATGATAGATTTAAACGAACATAAGTTGCCATCGATCCTACAATAATAACATATTCATCGAATATCTTTCAAAAAACTCTCTTTTAGAATTTTTAATTTAATTTTTATAAATTCCTTTCGACATTTTGAACTTTCGACATTTTTACTGTCGACCAAAGTTGAGTTTACCCTGAATGATGTCCCTCAGTCTTAGAAATTTTTGTGTTTCCCGGCGGAGTTGAATACTTCTCACATTCTTTACAGTTTCCATGGCAACCCTATCACCTTAGAAATCAATGAACTCCACCCTCAGCCCTCACCGCTTCCTGCAGTTGTTCTCTGTTAATTCATTCTTTATTTGGTGTGGTGATGCCGCCTCAAATATTTTTCTACTGAAACTCAGCTGAATCAATCTTGGACTCGATCGAAACAGCAAACGATCTGAGCTCATCCTCAACCGCACTCACCAGATTTTCCCTTAGCTACAGGTAGCTGAATAGATCACAGTATGTCTGTAATGGAAAGGGGTGAGAGAATTCTTCGATTCAATTGGACAAGCCAATGACCAATTCAGCAAGCATCTTATAACTTTTTTCAAAAAACAGGATTGAATCTACTCAAAGAAAGCTCATTCCCTCCATAGTAGGACCACCCTCAAGATGAAAGAAAGAAGGTAGACAAGACAGAAGGGAGGACAGGGCAGAGGAATTAAAAAGAACTTTAGTGACAAGTTAGCACTATCCATTTCAAAATACAGTTGATGGTCAGTGTGCCTTGAATAACTCTAGAATGCAAGTAGTTCGTTTAACTATCGACTATAAAAGATTTAGTTAGGTGTACTAATTGCAGTTAAACTAACTTAACTGCAACAGCCACGCTTACTAAGGAAGATTCTTCTTAATGTTTGAATTCGAATAGCGGATCAATAAATTCTTTTTTGTTCGATAGCCACTGAAAAATGAAGCAATTGGTGTTGGTTTTCTTCGATCTTTTGCTTCTACGCGGATATTTTCCCCTAAAAATCAATTTAGCGTTTTCCGGATGTCGTCTTGTTGGGATGACTGCAAAACGAAGCAGAATTTGAAAAATCCAGGCGAAATCGTTTCATTTTTTGTTTTTTATTCATTGAAATTAGTTAAATAGCTTCAAACTGCTTAATGCAGGAGAAAAATGTTTCTTGCGATCACTTACTTTTGACTAGTCTCGATTTTTCTCTTGGACACAAACCTTCGATTGGTTGAAACGTTTTTCATGATCGGTTACACTGATGACTGACATTCAAAAAATGTTCAACGTGATTGGTTGCAGGGACCCAATATCAATTCCTGTGATAGGGGGGATCTTAAAGAGATGTACCGTATAGAGCTTTCCAGAACCGACTTTAATCGATGGAGTAATGTATAATAATTGTGAAATCAGTTAGGTTTTAGTAAAATTATGCGACAAATAATAAAGCTTTCAGTGCAATCTCTAAGTGATTTAAATGTGAAACACGATAGAACTGCTTCCATAGTTGACAAAAAAATCATGTAATCAGATCACTTACAGCACTCGACACTTCCATACATTTGTTTCCCTTCATTTTTTCGGCGGCGATAAGTGGACGCCTATCACCAGCGCAACTGTAAGCCGGCCTCTTGTAATTTGACAGGCTTTAGTGGGCCAGTAGACTGGCGTTTTAGTTTTGGTCGGCTCTGGGAAATGACAAGCTAATCTAGCCCAGGCGGTTAGGTCAGACGCAAAAAGTAGCCTTTTAGTACATCTGATCTATCTATTATAGACACAATGCAAATCAATATCAAAACACACTCCACAGACCGAGTGTGCCAAGAAACACGTGACTCCTATAGAATGAGACAAATAGAGGGTCGGTACAGGTGACGAACGTCCATGTACAAGCCATCGATGTACCAAGAAGTACGGTTCTCGTTTAGGACTAAATTAAATAGGGGGTTGCAGCAACCACTGGACGTCCACTTATAAGTCATAGAGCTAACGAACATATGACCGTGACGTAATCGAATTTACATAGTTGAATCTTCCATTCGCGCATCCTCGCTAGTCGCTATCAGTCGTATATTTCTTATTCGATTCTTCGACTTAGAAACAAAGAACGTTAAATCGTACACTAATTCGATTATATAATTTCTTCTTCTCTCGTCTCTTCATTAAGAATACAACATCATCCTTCATAACTCAACACTTATTAGCTGATGCTAGGTGATTAATCCACCATGCAATCAAGCAGGGATTCGTCCCCACGTCCCCTTCTTTCACCCGACAATCCACAACAAGAACGCATAGAGATGATTCACTCGGTGAATAAAAACCAACTAAATAATCATGATCAAGATAAAATCGATTATCATCAACAACAGGACAGGGACCAACAAATCAACCGGTGGGCCAATTACCCACCTCATTCACGCTCACCTTCAGGTTCACGCTCACGTCCTCATCCTCGTTCCTCCAATTATAATGGCAATGGGACGAACAACATACGCCCACTTATGGAATATAATGATCCAAATGACTCATCAAGTGATGTACAAGTACATACATCTATAACAAATCGATTAAATAAGAAAAGAAAACAAAGCGGTACGGAAGAACCAATGGAATATTACTATGATGAATCACCGCCTTATCCACAATCACATGATAATCACCTACCACCGCATACAACCACATCAAACGTCACGTCAGAATCAAAATTGATTACAGAAGAAGCCAAACGGTTCGCACAAACCCGATATGCATTTCTTCTATTTGCTTTATCATTTAAATCATCCAAAATTAATGGTAAAAGAATTATCGATGAACTGATTAAATTCAGCAAAGTTAATTACTCATTTGATCTCCATTTATCTGGTTACCGAATGGCACCCAATAGATGCAACACCAATGAAAATAACTTGCTTATTTTCGTTAGAAATAGCCGTTCCTTTTCGTTTCTTCTGATCGATATCGATTGGCCGGATAATTTTGGTGGTGAAAAATTCACAATTGAAAGAAAACCAACTATCCCTCCACAACTGGCGATTCTTATTGACAATGTTAGCTATAAAACAAGCTTATTGGAAATGGAGAATGACATTAAATCACGATATGACAATGTAGTTAAAGTAATCCGATTAAAAAATAAAAACCAATTTGATACAAAATTTGTTAAAGTCGAATTCAATTTTCCAAAAGCACTTGATGACATATTAAATAAAGGTTATATGACAATAGACTATATAAAACATGATGTTAAAGAATATTTACCACAAGCATCCATATTGATCTGTTCGAATTGCATGGGATTAGGCCATTTTTGTAATTAATGCAAACAAACTAATGCAACATGTAAACTCTGCTCTGAACAAGTCAAAGACGTCAGTACTCATCAATGTCAAGGGGTGGTCAAATGTCTACACTTTGGTGGTGCACACCATTCAAATGATTTAAAATGCATGGTGATTAAACAGTTTAGGTCAGATTTAACTAAAACACTTTTATCATCTACACACAAACAATCGTTTAACAGACAAACCGATCCATCATTACAGTTTCCGCCACTGCCACAAGCTAGCAAACAATTAAGCATCAATTATCACATATCAACAAATGTCCAAAATGGAATCATCATAAAGCTAGACCAGATCCTCAACTCTATTACCAAATTCGAAAATACAATTGGTGATTTAACTAAACACACTGAAGTCATTGAAGAATAGTTTACCAAAAAAGAAAAAAATGATGCCAAAATTGAAAATGATATTAAAGCTGCACAACTTAGTAATGGTAGATTAGATGGAGAACTTAAACAACAAGTGAAGGTCATCGAACAATTATTTATCCCGGTGTTAGATGATATCATCACGGTGTTAACTGAACTGAATATTAAAGATGGTAGGGCTATGAATGCAGACTTTAGATCGCGTAGTGGTTTATGAAAAAGCGAGCTTAAAGCGTATTTGGATAAAAGACTCAAACTATAATGTCTCTTTCGCCTTATGCAATTTCTTTTTCTTTTCATGTACCCCTCTTCCCAAGCTATCCAATCGTGAACACTTTATACAACTTGCAGAAAATAATCTTTCGTTATTTGATTCTTGTATGTTCAAAAGTATTTTGATGGAATGGGAGAGTTGCACTCTTCTTTCTTCTTGTTTGAACCTGTGGTCAAAATATGTGTTCACAGACACGTGTGTTTCTTTCTCTTCCTTGCAATGTATGTCCTTTAATGTACGTGGTTTTAATCATAGATGGAATGAAGTTGTTCTTCTCACTAGCTCACTTAAACTCGATGTCATCATACTAGTTGAAACTGGGATAATAGATATCATCTGGATGGAAAAACGTTTCCCAGAGCATTCACTTTTTTTTATCAAAATGGAGAAAATAGTTTTGGTGGTATAGTAACCATAATTAGAAGAAGTATTCCAGCTAAAATAATTGATACTTGTCTACCAAATGTATGTGTATTAGACTTAGTGTTAGGTGAAAAAATCAGAATTATAGGCATGTACGCTCCTGAAAGTAAATCATGGAACTGGAAAGATCTCACTAATCTCATATCCAACAAATGTATAATATTAGGAGATTTTAATGTTGACATGAATAATGATACGCAATCAAGTGAAGCACTACTTGAATGGGCTGACGCTTGTTCCTTAGCACCATGCATTCCAGATGCAGCTACATCACTAAGATCTGATCACACAATCGACTACGCTCTTTCGAACGGAGTTCCATTTAGCATTCAAACGTATAAAGGAGGTTCCTCAAGTGACCATAAACCAATCTTAAGCACACTGTCATGTGGTAGAGATGAACAAGCTAGGCGGAAAAATACACATTGGAATGTAATCTCTTTGTTTCTATCATATGTCTTTAAGTACTGGCAAGAGGTCTGAGCTGAGGGTAACTTGAATGAGGCCTATAAAGAATACGTTTCATTTCTTTCACTACTTATTTCTAGATGTACGGTCGACTTTCTTCTTAATAAATATCGAATAGCACTACCAAATACAACGAGAAATTGTTTTCAGAGCTAAAAGAACTGGTGATCTCGAGATGAGAAAGTTATCGAAGTCGCTACGAGAATCTGTTAGGAAGGAGATTACTCTATTTCGATCCAATCAACTTAGGCAAGGCATAGCAACATGATTCTTACCAGCTCAAACATCAGTACCCTTCTGGTCAAAAACAAAGCGGATTTTTAAACCAGCTAATTCATCTCTTCATGCTTTTTTACTTGGCAATGGAGAAATAGTTAAAGACAGATCACAAATGGTAGACATCGCCGTCGAACATTATAAACAACTATACTCATTGCCAATAATAATGTGTCCCCACCCGTATGTTGACTCCCTATCTATCACTTGGGGAAATGAGGATGAATTAATACCGTCAGTAACATTTGAAGAGGCCACTAAGGCAGTAGAAAGCAGAAAAAAGAAACTCTCACAGGATGCACACGGACTCTCCACCTTTTTATTTAAATTTTTACCCGCACAGTCCTGGATGTTGTTTGTAGACTTGTTCAATCTTTCGTTTTCGAATTTCTTTCTGCCTGATGCATGGAAAGATGTACGCATTATCCTCCTAGCGAAGAAAGAGTCTATATGTACGGCCTCTAACACCAGACCTATTTCTCTCCTAGATATCTTTCTAAAAGTAATTGAGAGGTTATTTTTAACCAGATTTCAAAAAGTGTTAGAAAAACGAGGTATCCTTCCGGATACACAATCAGGCTCCAGATCGAACTTTAGGCTACAAATTAGAGTGCTACTCTTAATAGAGCAAATTTCCTCAATGATGGCTAATAGCTCCCCGGTCGCAACAATATTTGTAGACGATAAGCAGGCGTTTGACCAATTGTGGATAGAGGGATGCGTAGGGAAATTGAGTCGTATGGAGATTCCTAGAGCGTATACCGAATGGATTAAAATGTGGTTATCTAACAGAAGAGGGTACGTTGAAATACATGGAGCCAGATCACATTGGTTCCCAATAGAGCGAGGCGGACCACAGAGATCCAGCATAACCCCATCAGTATTTATCACATATCATTCCGATATGGACATCTTCTTACAAAACTGCGCTTCGTTTTATTTTGCTGATGACCTAGCGGCGACAATGGCCGGCAGAATAGGAGAAAACTACAGTGTACAATGCTTAGATCTAGAGAAGCGTCTTTAAACGTTTCTTAGTAACCTTGAATATTATTCATTACTCGCCACTTAGCCCATTAATTATAGTAAAACCGAGGGTCTCTGGTCCGATAAGGCTTGGGGGGCCCACGAAGTACCAAAATTTCAACTCACATGTGGTCATCATCACGTTAAGTGGTGCACCTCATTTAAATACTTGGGGTCCTGGACAGCCCAAAGTTAGGCTGGTCTCTGATGATTA